ATATTGATGCCCTTTAAGAAACCCTGTATATTATTACATGTTATATACCATAGAGAAAGAAATAAAATAATTGATTTAGTATATAAGAATAAGGCAAGTTTTTCGTTTCTGTTATATAAAGATATGGTCATTTTGGCTTGGAGATCAAATAAAATCTAGGTCGCGTATAAATTTTAACAAAAACAAAAACATGTTAACCACGGTATAAATTTCCTTCTCACATATAGCTCTAGACATATACAGCCTTATTCGGATGTCAATTCCATGTGAATTTACTCGCTCTTTCCCTTCGCCTTATTCTGAACAACATTTTCCAGTGAATTTTTTCGCATTCTCGCTTTCGCCTTATTCTGAATGAAGTTCGAAAGCGAAAAAATCCGCTTTGGGGAAAAATTAGGTATTCTGAATTACAGGGAGTAGGAAATTTTGTGCGAAAATTTTCGCTAATAAATTTAAGGGGAGTTGACTACAAAATAGTAAGCAAATTTTTAACTGGAAAACAACCAATAAAATGCCATTGGAAATCCTATTGATAACGATGCATGCTGAAGCAAGTATTGCCAAGAAATGTATAAAGGTAATAAGGAATATTTAAGTCGAGTTTGATTTTTAGAGGCGAAATACAGACATTTTGGGTGAGGATCTGTCTCTCAAGAAAAAAATTTTAAAAATTATGGAAAACCCAAATTTGCCTGATTAGCCGCTTAACAGTGAAAAACTTAAATAAAAATTATGAAAGAACAAAAAAATATTTTTTTTTTTAAATTATCGTGTGCATGATTTGATGGAAGAAATAAAGGAGTAGGAGCAAATCATAAAATAACAGGCCATTTTAAGAATCTGGGGAAATAAATATCGAAATTAAATAAAAAGGCACACAATTAGGTAGTGAAATAATAAACTGAATTAATTAATTCAATCGCAGATTTCTTTCCATTATTCGTTGTTGTATTCTCAGTTGTAGTTGTTGCATCAAATTGCATCAAAACAATGAACAGCTGTTTCACATGCCATATTGTAGGTTGCCATATTTTTAAACTTTAATTTATTTTCTTTTAATTACAAAGCATTTATACAGCAGATTATTGATATTTCACATTTTTATTGTTATATAGTTTAAATAACAATAAAAAGTAAACATTTTTAATAAAAAAATCAAGAAAATGAAATATTGAATCTCCCAACGAATATCTAGAATAAGGCTGATAGTTCTTCGCAGCATTCACCATAAGGTGAAGTGTACATTATATTTGTCATTCCGTTTTCAACACAACGAAATATTCGCCAGAGACCCCATTAAATATATATATATATTATTGATCAGAATAAAATTCTATATCGATGTATGAGTAACCGTCTGTATGTCTAATGAAATAAAGATATCAAATCTTCCTATCGAAAATAATCAATATTGGTCATGTTTTTTAAAACTTCCTACCAAAAATTATAAATGGCAGTTTGAACATACCAAAAAGTGGACCTATACCGGCAATTCTACAAACCGGTTTATGTAAACCATAATTTACACCAAATACAAATTTCAGCAGTTTTTAATAGTTTTTTCCTTAAAAACCCAAAAAGTGGGCCGATATTTAAGACGCATGGTAGGGTGGAACATCCCCAAAATATTGCAATTTAGAGACCACGGTGATATCAGATTATCATCAACGTACACAGGTTTTATTTCGGCGGGTTGGGTGGAAGCTGCTGGTTCAATATGAAAATTGTATGTCCGTGGAGACTATACCCAAAGCGGAACCAATATTAATTACGACGTGTAGGAATTACCGAACATTTATATGAGGCGCTATGCCTAATTGAGGACTGATATAGCTCAATTTCGAAACTTTTTTGCATCAAAATACCTTCCTTTACGCTAAATATTCAAATGCCGAAAATCTGTATTTATTGGGCTAGGCCCAACTGCCGACCAATAGTTTTTTTAGTGACGAAATTTGGTACCCAATAAGAACTCAATGTACCAAATTTCAGCGAATTAGGTTGAAAAAGAACCCCAAAATACCGAAAATTGGGTACCTTTCTATGGGAGCTATGTCTAAACGTGGGCCAATATAACACATCTTCGAACTTGACATGCCTGCAGACAAAAGACGACTCTATGCAAAATTTTGACAATCTATCGCAATTTTGTAGAGGCTAGAGTGATTACAACAGACGGACATGCTTAAATCGTAATAGAATTTGGCCCAAGGACGAACCCTATTGAAATTGGAAAAAACGGCTCAGATTTTGATATAGCTCCCATATATATTTTAGTCCCATTTTATTATTATTATTTATTTTCAAAGACTTGTTACCAGGCTATCTAGCCTATTTTGTATTGGTACAAGCAATCTACACAACATTGATTCTTATGCCAAAAGTACATTCAAAATTAATAATTAAATCTTAATAATTAAAATTAAACCTAAAAATTAAAATTAATATCCCAATTACGCAAATAAAAACATATATATGCTTCACGAAAAGGAAACCTGATTCGTACTACTATAATAGCGTCCTCTCTTAAGAACACTTATTATCAGTTAATTAAAACCGATAAAAGTATATATATTTAAGAGAGGACAACATACAAAACATATTGATAACTTATACAACACTTACAGTTTTGTAAATATTAAAAAGTCCAGAAGTTTTTTTTATATGAAGATGGTAAACAATTATAAAGACGCGCAACTCTGACATGAAATGCTTGACTTAAATAGGAGGATAGGCGTGGAATTATGATCTGTGGGTTTCTAACAGATCTTCCAAAACTAAATAATTTGCACACAAATTCAGGTTCCATACATTTTTGTGTTCTATAAAAATGTAACAGCAATCTAATATTAATATAAGTGAAAAAAGAACACCCTAAAAACTGGATAATATAGCCGGACAAGTGTTGTCGATCTTTAACAGAATATATGAACCGTACAACACTATTCAACACCCCACGTAACTTTCTCATGACAATACCTACTGTCCCAGAGTATACTTCTATGCAATACAAAATTGATGCAATACAAAACTCTTAATATTTGTCCGATTTAGACAAAATTTTGTACAGCGTATTGAATTAGGTTCTGATTGATTTATGCAAAGTTTTGTTGGAATCTATTGATATTTAACTATAGCTCCCATATATTGTTTCGTACGATTTTATGTAAATATTGAACCAAACTCCCAGTATGTGCCCGATTAGAACAAAATTTTGCACATCGAACAGAATTAGGCCTAGTTTAATGTATGCGAAGTTTTGTTGAAATCTGTTCAGATTTAGATATAGCTCGCATAAATACCTTCCCATATGCAAATGATCCTAGGAGCCTATGTTTGATCGCCTAACATAAAATATTTCATAGCTATAACTTCCATATATATATGCATTCGATTTAATCTAAATCTAAATGTACAAAATAAATTACGTTTGTAAGATTGTTACAAACTTATGCTCAGGGTGCGAAATTGAACTTAGAATAAGGTGTATTGGATTTTGTAAAATATATTCAGCTGTAGGTATACCCGCTCTATATTTTCGTCTGAGTTCATTCAAAATGTACACCAAAAACTGTGCGTTTCTCTGATCAAGATCAATTTTGGACAGTATACAGTGCTGCAGCATACCAAATCGTGGATACCTCCAGATTTACATATAGATTCCATTATGTGTGATTTCCAAGTATGTCAGATTATGGGTTGTTTTTTAAATTAAGTCAAATATATATTTATTTCAAACATTTAATTTCGTCCGATTCTATTTCAATGGTCCTCCCAAGATGGTATGTCTGTTGTATCTACAGAATATTGTACATACGATAACCTCTTGTATGTACCCCAAGCCTGGAAAGGTATCATATAGTCGGAACCGTCCTTTCCTTACTGATTAAAAACATGTTTTATTTAAAAAATCCTAATTTTTGAAGCCCGTACCCATCATAATAATACATATCAAAGAAATCTAATTCTTATATTTAACTTATATTACAAAATTGCTTTCCATAATACTTTGGGCTGGAATATAGTTTAAGGCCCGGCACTCAATCATTTTCAAAAAGTTCACGGGCCCTGATTATAACAAATTTAAAATGAGATTCTATCGAGTAGGTGTCCGTAGGAAAATTTATTAAATCCGCGGCTGAAGGCCCGCCACCTACAAAGATACTATATTTATTTGCTTTAAAATGATGTGACCTTACAAAGTTCGAAAGTACTTGCCGAACATCGAAGGCCCACATCAAATAAAATAAAGTATGGTCGTCTTTGATAAGATGCATACTATTTGGAATCACTTTCTAAAAAGCTGGATTTACCAAGAACAAAATTATATCGCTGTCAAAAGTGCTCTTAGGGGTATCTGTGTTAAAATTCAGATAGGTGACCAGGTCTTGAACTATTCTTGTTCCATAGTTAATTTTGAAATATTGAAACAAAAAATAACTTCGTACGCCATACATGGATTTCTTGGAAAATCCCATTCTAATCTCATTTTTCTCAAAATACCTGATCAATATTTGTTATTGTTTATTTTGTATGCATTTTGTTGTTGCATTTGGCGATTAGTTAACTTATACAACGAACCTACCTACGATACGTTTATATCATACGACCGCCATTTGGTATTTTGGTCGACAGTGAAACGACAGAACGTATTTTGACGTATGTATACGTAAGTACCCGTAGACTACATTTCCACTACTTTATGTATACAAACAAACATATGTATGTAAATCACGCGGTAACAAGAAAACGTATCGACGCGTAACGACGAAACAGCTGTTTTGCCACAAATATCAATACCTAGCCGAAAAGGCAAAGTACGTATAGCATCCGAAAGCATCGAAATTAGACAAATTTACTTTTACTGTACCCTCCGAAAAAATAAATTGATTAGCGAAACGTTGTTTGTAAGAGAAAAACCAAATAGAACAGGAAGGAAAGGAATTTTTGGCGCAAAATTTTGCAAGACCTTTTCAATTCAAACTTAAAAAGTTTGGAATATGGATGATGAGAAATTAATGAAATTGGTGGAAGAACGTGATGTACTCTACAATAGATTTCATCCTCACTATAAGGATATTAACAAAAAGGAAGAGGCATTTGCTGAAATTGCCGAAGAATTGGATATCCCGGGTATATTAGTCACATTAAATTCCAAAGGTTTCCAATAAACTGAATTATAATGTTTATTCTAGATATCCAATTCATTATACGGCGTTATCACAGTCTAAGAGATCGTTATACACGATATAAACGCATATTGGAGACCACGGGAGAGTCAAGATGTTATCTGCCAGTAATGGATAATATGGGGTTTCTTAATCCGCACATATTCAGCAGGAAGTAAGAATCCTCCTATATACTTTGTATAGAAAATAAGACCATTAACAAGTATTTTTTATTAAAACTTGCAGAATGAGACGTAAACAATATGAAAGGGTACAATGTGATAATGAAACGAGTTCGACTTATGATAATACGTAAATATCCAAACGCATCTTCCATAGAGACCAATTTCCTGACATAAATTTCTTATTTCAGAACAAAAACTAACCGCACCGAATGCAGTACACCACAACAAAAAGAAACAGCGCCATCAAGCCAAAGTGATGAAGAGTCAATGGATCCATTGCAGTGTGCGGATGAATCCGATAACATTACTGAAATTCCAATTACACCACCTCCGATAACAAAAGCTGGAAAATCTTCATCATCATGTGATGACAATAAATTACCAAAAATTCTACAAAGCAATAACAGCAGTACAACGACACGTCTTAAAAGAAAATCCTATGCGAAAACATCATCTCATTTCGATAAGAAAACATTGGATAATAAATTTAGAAAAATTGATCAAGAATTTAGTGAAGCCATTCAAAGTTTTCATCGGGTATGTAAGGCCAGAGAACGTCAAAAGGATGGTGCACTTCAAGGTTTTCGTCAAATGATTATATCCACTCTGGCCGATATGAGTGAGACCAAACAGACGAAAGCCATGTTGCAGGTGACAGAAGCTGTGCTGAAGATTAAAATGGAACCCGAGGAATAGAGTTGTTTAAAGTTGTATGCATTTAAATATACTTTTATGGGATAAGATAAAATTGCAATTATATTGAGGACATGTGTTTATGTCTGTTTATATTCTGAAAGAAGAATGTATTGTAAGATTTTTAATAAATTAGTTTGTTTATATAGAATACTATTTAAGGTTCGGCCTCGAATTTAATTTTTATATTTCTGCAATGGTTTTAAGTTAGGTAAAGCTAGAGGGATATGTAAATAAATCCTTTTGTTTCCAGTAATGATTGTCCGCATATTTTAACCAAAATATTATAATGTTGGTCTTCGGTCGATTGAGTATTGGAAAGACAACAGGAAAATACTGATTTTGCCGATAAAATCGTCTTCAGATACTATACCCATTTCCATCTTTATGGTTTCGCCAATAGGCAGAATTGTCGCATTTGGGGTGTGGATAATCCTCGAGTTATTCAATGGAAGCAAATGCATCCTCAGTGTGTCACTATGTGGTTTTTAGGCTGGGATCATTCGACTTTTTTATGAAAATAAGACAGTTCAAGCGCTCTGTGGTACAGGGTACAGGAAACAAGAATCGAGATAGATCCATGATTCCTTTTGAGAATATGCTCACTTTCTGAGTAGTTTTATGCATGTCCGTCTGTCTTTAAAAAAATCTACGTCTTAAGGTGTATTATTAATAGAAAACGATTATGCGTTAAAGTCCGAAAGTTATTGAGAAAATATTCTTTAAAAATCTACGCACTAGTCCTTAAAAAATCCACGTTTATTGCTCACTTGTCCTCGTAAAAATATTCAAAAAAGGCTTAATACGCTGGTGGTTCTTTAAAAAAATATTCTTTATAAAATCCACGCTTTTTATTTTTATTTATTTTTCTACATCTATTTTCAATACAAGAGCAAATATATAATCTTTAAAATAATATTTTTTGTTATTTTATTTAAAAATTCCTTATTCTAACTTAATGGCTATATCCCTTATTCGCTATTATATATTAACGCTCATCTTCCATTTTCATTTGCATAACGGCCTGTGTTACCAATGACATTGCCTTCGATTGTTTGGGTATGCTCATTTCGGATATTGTTGCTATAATCATTTGACAAAATCCATGTAATGCTTTATTTTCTTTTAATTGTTCACCCGATTTACAGAGAGTGACAAAACTTTTTACAGCATCACAAAAGGCATCATCCGAATCCTCGTTATAATCAATATCCTCAGAGGATTCCAATCTTGTAACATTATTAATGGGTATTGATGTATCTGTTGTCGTTTTCTTTGGACGTCCAACGGATTTGCGTTTATTTGCTTTGTCATCTTTGATTTTTGGTTGCTTAGCATACGGAACATATTCATCATCATCTTGACTGTCAAAGGGAGACATTTCCTTTTGTTTACGTTTCGATCGGGAACGGCGTTTGGGAGATCTTGTTTCATTATAATTATCTTCATCGGAGAAATCATCATCGACTGTCGTTGAATTCCGTTGCATTTTAAGGGGATCAGATGATATACATAAACTGGCTTCTGACCCCTCCCAGGTTATTTTACCACCGTTTGATCTATAAATATTAAATTAATTCTAGGTATAATGTATATAATAGTGTACAACTTACTTGATAAATATAAATGGAGTCAGGAATTCCATTTTCTCCATTGTTGCTTGATCATAATTATTTTCGGGTCCCTTTGTAAGTATGGAACGTTTGTATCGCACGAAACGATCACGCAAACCTCGATAGCGTTTTATCACGCGATCAACTGTGCTAGTTAAATTGAAATTGTGTCAAGTAAAAATATTTTTCAAGGAGTTTTGTTTTTATCCTTACCCGGTAAACCCATCTCGTCGGCAATCTCTTCCCAAACAACTTTTTTGTGTTCGGTTTTCGCAAGCGGGTGATTTTTATTATAGAGCACATCGTTGGCTTTCAAAAGATCAAGTAACTTGGCGTCGTCATACATTTTATTTTACCGGAACAATTCGTTTTTCCGTCGAAGTATCCAAAAAAATTGTTTTGTTTACAGCTCAACGAAGCAGCTGACTGACGAATGGTTAACAAGTTGGGAACATATTAAGTAACCGAATAACCGATTAGATACAAGTTGATAGCCAGACATGGGAAGTCTTCATAAAGGGGATATGAAGGAGAATTTTAAAGAAAATTCACAAGGCTATGAGGGCAGTTCGTCTTCGGACGGCTCACAAGAAAGACATTTAAAGAGTTAATCACGCCTACGGGCTTAAAAAAGTACAAAATGGCGCTGTGTTAAGCTTTCGCTTAACTTGCCACGTGTTTTATTATCGAACTAACCGAAAATATAAGAAAATCTCGTTAATCTCGCGCATATGGTTTATGGTCCTATACCTTCTATTCGAATAGAAAGTGAACTAGCTGGAGGAGGACCTGCATCCAGTTTTTAAAGAGATAAAAATGGCTATGAGAGGTTATTTGGCATGTTTTATCAGGTCAGAATGTATACGATATGAATGCTCTCGGATCATCCATAAAGAGAAACATATATGGAGAGATCTATGGGAGGAGAAAATAAGAGGGATAGCACCCAATAGTCTGTGCCGTCTGTAGGCCAGGACTGGGTATCGACACAGGAGATGCTCAATTGTCTCTGTCTCTTCCTCGTCAATGCAGAGTCTACAATAGTCAGTAGCATCATGGTCCCATTTACTGGTAAAGGCCTTGATATTGCAATGACCAGTAGTGATTCCTAATATTACTCTTATTTCAGCTTGCTCAGGTTCAATAGTGAGTGTGTCCTTTTGGTAGACAGAGACGGCCAAATAGATTTTGACACATTGCACCTAGGTTCGTTGTGCCAAAGTTCATCGGCTCTTTCGTCGAAGAACGCCTCACAGTTCCGATTGAGCCATCAATTGCTAGATTTGTAGATTGAGATCCTCGTCTAGCTGTTCTAATCTTGAGGACGGCCTCAGATTTTATGTAACTGGATTTGATGGTTTTAAGAGCCGCTTGACTATAGCCACCGCTTGACTATAGTCACCAGACTTTTCATTAGTTCCGCTGCCTTCCAAATCGCAAAGATTTCTGCTTGGAAGCCGTACACAGTAGACGCCAACCCTTGTACCTTCTTCCATCTTGAATCCGTCTGTATAGAAAGCTAGACCGCCCAGAGGAGGGTTACTCCGGTTCCAGTCGTCTATACTAGGAATAGATGTCGTTATTCGAAATCTCAAAATAGGAATAACGACATCTACATCGTCAAATCTCAGGACTGGTGATATATAGTCGCTTAGTTTTACGCGTTTGTCCAATATCATACCTGGCTGGTTCAAGATACAACCATGCCCAGAGGTACAACTTCGCCAAAGATTTTGTTCATGCAGCCATAGGCCTGACACTTAATGCTGGGGCCCACAGGCCTTAAGTTCAGCATTGCGTTCTGTGCTGCTTGTTGCGTACTCCTTCTGGCTCCTGCAACTAAAATCGAGGCGACTCTTTGTTACTGGATGTCGACTTGTGGCGCAGACAGTTCCACCACACAAGAGAATCATAGGATAGGATCGGCCTTACCACGGTGTTATACAACCAGTGTATTGTCGATGGTTTTAGCCCCCAGTGGAGTTCTTGCATGCATAGAGTGCAATCACCGCCCGTTCCTCAGCGTTCCTATTCCATCGTAGTTGACAGTCCAGGATTGTGCCGAGGTACTTTACTTCGGGAGATAGATGAATTGAACTCCATCCTTCCTACGCTTCCTAGTGAACATTACCAGTTTCGTCTTTGTTGGATTTAGGGTCAGTTTCACTCTGCACATCATGGAGACCCCCTTCCCATCCGCCACCCGGGAAGACGCGCCTAGTAGGAGATCGGCAACTTCCCTTCTGGTAACAACAATATAAACTAAAGTGGCGAAAGCGAAGCAAGATCATATGCGCTACAGCAGTTCCTACTTCCTCTCCGTTTGAATTAATGAATCTAAGGTTGATCGGTATCTAAAGAATTTCTTCCTGAAAGGCGAAGTGGATCGGGCCTGTATAAAACAATGAAATTAGTTGATAAGCCGAACGTCGGGTTTCCAATGAGACAGTCGATTAATTTAGTGACGTTCAAAGGCGGACTCAAAAAGCGAGGATTTCTAAAGAATTTACCTACATTATTTGTCCTAGATTATAAAGGGATCAAAAAGCTTGGGTTCATAAAGAATTCAATGATCGTGAATTAAGAAAAAATCCTAGAATACAAGGGGCCAACAAACGTGAATCCCTCAATATTTATAAAGGGATCAATAAGCGTTAATTTTGGAATAGTGAGCGTGAATTTTTTCTTTATTATAAAGGGGTTGACAAGCGTGCATCCTCAAAGAATTATATAGGGTTGAATAAGCGTGGCTTTGTAAGAACCTTTTGTAGATTATTAAGGAACCGAGAATAGTGGATTTTTTAGTATTATTTAGGGTTTAATAAGCATGGGTTTTAATGAAAATTTTCTAGATTACAAAATGGTCTGCAAGCATGCAGAAGTATATAGGGGCCAATAAGCGTGCATTTTTAAACAACTTTTTCTTGATTATTAAGGGAGAATATTGGATTATTTTAGTATTATATATGGTCCAATTAGCGTAAGTTTCTAAACAAAATTTCTTAGATTATAAAGGGTGTATTCCTATGGAATTATATAGGGGTCAATATGTGTGGATTTAAAAAAATCCTATTATGAAAGACACTTTAAAAGGTTATAATAATGGGCTTTTAAATAATTTTCTCATGGTTCTTATGAGGACAATAAACGTGAATTTTTATAGAAATTTACAAAGATAATAATTGGCTCAATAAATGGGGATATTCCTTAGGGCCTAAGAATCATGAATTCTTAAATACGTTTTCCTAGGCTATAAAGAGCTCAATAAGCGGCGATATTTAATGAATTTTTGCGTGGATCCTTGTAGAATATTGTAATGGTCTCGAAACGAGTAGATTCAGTGTTTTCAAAGGATATAATAGGGCAGTTTTTAAAGTTATAAAAGTGGGT